TATAATATATATAATATTATATATCTCTCCTTTTAGGAAGGTACATATGGCTAATGATTCATCTCAGTGGACCCTTCTACTCGACAGAACTTTTTTCACAGTAATAGGGACCTGAATCTTAAAATGAATCTCAAAGAGCATCAAGCGTGAGTTTGTCCTCTTATATTAGTGAAAAATTGTATTCACCTTGAATCTCACCTCCTTTCCTACTGTCAGGACACACCTCAAAAAAAGGCCAGATTACTATACCCAGTTGAGCTCCAACTTCTGGCCAGAGAATGTTTTACCTTTGGGTGATGGCTCCCGAGGAATCACCATGGGGAAGTTTTTGCAGAGATACGCTGAATCATTTAATCCCCTGTCAACCCAGTTCTTCACTTTTTACAGCCAGCATCGTTAGGGATTTTGTGTTTATTTCTATTCAGTTTATGCTACCTCATCATGGAAGGACTGCACCAATTTTGCAGTCTTACAAAATTCTTTCTCAGGAATGCGTACTTCTGCTTGCTTCAGCTGGGACAGGCTCCAATTAACCTGCACCCAAAACTAGGAAGGGGTGAAGTTAGATGTACATGACTCACCACAGCTGTCACTGGATTTTAACATTCATAAGCTCCAAGCCAACACTTTACATTCCGATGCCAGGTAATGGCTATTCCCTAAGGACCTGAAGCCATGTCTGAGCACATCTTTACACATGCCGATGCCCTCCCTGCCCAGCTCTGAGCTATACTCTAGAGAGCTGTCCTATTTCAAACCGTCAGCTCATAAAGTTACAGTGTCATCCTCAAGACCCAGTCACGTTGGTTTTAGCCCAGCATTTATTCACCTTATATTTCTTATTCTGCCAACACACGACTGCACTGAAAACACTGAGATATTTGGCATTTTTTTAAGCACTTGACTCTTGGAGTGGTATTACATAAGACTGTCGACTTTCATTGGAAAAAAGAGGGAACACTTTAATCTTCATTGTTGTAAAGCTTGAAAATGTGTTGTGAATGGTTTTTTCAAGGATAAGATACTTTAGGCTATGAAAAAGAGAAGGAAAATGTACTTTTTTTTCAAGTTCTCTGGAGCGTTAAAAGCATTTAAGTTTTTGTGATCTGACTCATGACTTTTCAGCACTGTGCTTCCACCTGATGTCACATTGCTTGAGCTCAAAATACTCAGAGGAGAATTAAAGGCACCAACATCCCATGTAGTACACTGGTCAAATTTTTTGCATTCAGAAACTTCACTTCAGAAGTCTGTTGACAAAAGAAAACGAGACACCCAAGAGGCTATTGCTGAGTGACTTTTAGGTTATCAAGTTAGAATGCATAACCTCTCTAAACTAAAATTTCAGTTGCAAATTTCGCTACACTAAATTTCAGTTGTAAAGACTACTCATGATTAAGGGCCAGAGTCTATGTGTTGCTTTTTAGGAAGAAAGGTAGAGAAATTACAGTTTAAGTGTGGTGCAGACAGCAGCTTTCCCACAACAGCCACAGTTTAGAGCAGCCTTGAGATCCAAAGCTGACTTGTTACTCTAAAGCAGAACTGCTATGAGACTTGCATTCTATACATGTCAAAACAGAAAAAAAGTTGTCAGCAACAGATTAAACATCCTGTTGTACTTTCTGTCCTGCTTTGCTCTTGACATCTACAGTTCAGCTTAAAACCAGAATCAGCCCAGAAAAAAGAATCTGTGGGTCTCAGCCATGCTGAGTCACACAGCTTCTAATTTACCAAGGTCCTTCTAACAGTGGCAAAACATGTCTCCCAGCATTTTAAAATGGAAAAAAAAAGAAACAAGCAAGTGGTCTTGTCTCCTTGGCAATAAAAAAAGGAATCTGACCACCTAAACATGGCAATTTAAAATTCAAGAGCTAGACTCATCCCTGCTATACTATAACTATATATATACTATAAAAAAAACCCAAAACAACAAAAAAACCCCCAAAACCCAAAAAAAACCCCTGCATGTAGAACGAGAATGTGCTGTCCTGGTTTCAGCTGGGATAGAGTTAAATTTTCTTCCTAGAGCTGGTATAGTACTATGTTTTGGATTTAGGATAAGAAAGTTGATAACACGCTGATGTTTTCAGTTGTTGCTCAGTACTGCTTATGCCAGTCAGGGACTTTTCAGCTTCCCATGCTCTGCCAGGGGCACAAGAAACTGGGAGGGGGCACAGCCAGGATAGCTGATCCAAACTGGCCAAAGGGCTATTCCATACCATATGGCGTCATGCTCAGTATAGAAACTGGAGGGGTTGGCCGGGGGGAGTGATCGCTGCTTGGGAACTGGCTGGGTATTGGTCGGCGGGTGGCGAGCAATTGCATTGTGCATCACTTGCTTTGTATATTATTAATACTGTTATTATTATTATTACTATTTTACTTTATTTCAATTATTAAACTGTTCTTATCTCAACCCAGGAGTGTTTCTCGCTCTTACTCCTCCGATTCTCTTCCCCCATCCCACAGGGGAAGGGAGAGTGAGCGAGCAGCTGCGTGGTGCTGAGCTGCTGGCTGGGGTTAAACCATGACACATGCTTAGGATGAACATGGTCTAGATTTGGGGAGGCTTCTCAGAAAAGGAGATAACTGAAGGCAAATGCTGAACTGTTACTCTGTAAACCTTTGGGTATCTTGTAAAATGGAAGTGCACATCACACCTCGTAAAATCTTTAAATCTATTGTAAAAACCATTTCAAGCCACTTGATTACTGTAAGCTACAGTTAGATTCAAAAGGTAATGCATAGTAAAAAGTGCTGGGCTGTTGACAGTGATGTGTTTACTATTTAGAGGTTGGTAACAGAAAGTCATAGATATCAATATTGGGCTGGAGCCCTAGCATTTTGTTAGTAACCCATGTGGTGCCTAAAACTTCATCCCTGGCACAGAGATCTCTCCATCAGTGTTCACTAGGACTAGCACTGCCAAAAGGAATGTTATAACATGACTATATGTACGGAAAGAACTTAGCAAATACCACCCAAATTAATACCACTGATGAGAACTTTCCAATACTAACAACTTATTAGCAGATCTTTTGACAAGTAAACTGATCTGGGTTTTATCTTACTTGTTTCTAAGGCTGCATGGTAGTTTCTTTGCACATTTTGTGGGTCTCCTGCCATAAATTTGTTTTTGATTCACGGTGGATTTAAGAAAGAGGTATTCTCTCTCCTCTCCTTAGAGCTGTAGCGTTATGGTATGTGTACATACATATACACTTTACAAAAACTTTCTACAGTATTGTTTCAAGCTGTAGTTGTACTGTCACATAGTTGAATTTTTCATGAATCTTCAAATGCAAAGTTTTCCTAAAAGGCGCAAGTACTGTAGGGGAGCTGCAGGCAGAAGTCCAGTCTCAAAGCTACAGATTTCCTGTGCGGCACAGACTGAAAACCCATGGATCTCAAAGGGTTGAGACCCCTTGAAACTTTGAAGGGTTGAGTACCATGATAAAGAAAGAAATAGTTCTGCATTATTATTTTTGGCTGGCCTAGGCAAGTCACCTCTGTACCAGTTCTAGTACAGATTTATTGCAGTAACCTATTCAGACTGTTAGAGATGAACACGGGAAATCAACAGGGAAATCTTTTCTGTAGAAAGAAAACAGTTGGATTTGTAGTGATCCATTGGAAGTTGGCATGAGTGATGCCATCTTCATCCCCTTCCTGAGCATTTACTAATGAGAAGGAATTATTTGAATGTTTTTGGATTTTTCTGTCCCATTCTGTACCCAATTGAAACAGGTTGCTAAACTACAAAGATTTCTTTACTGTCTACTCTAACAATTTAAATATTTTTGCAAACCCATGATGTTTAATGTGCTCTCCAGGATCCTCATAAAAACTTTCTTTACTATTGACTTTTTTCTGCCTAAAACTTCCTAAGTGGAAATACAACTTGATTTCTTCAAGTATACACTTGAATTTGAAAATTAAGAAATTTGAAAACAAGGCTCCAAATGAAGCAGTCTTTGCTTGCAGTCCCATGCGGAACAAACTTACACAAGGAGCTAGCCTCACTGAACTAAGGTTCACAGTGCATGAGTTCCTGGATTAAAACCACCATGTCAATAACTCCATATAGTACAAACATTATCAACATGGCAGAAGCCCATCAGTTTATAATAGCTCAGATCCTGATTTTACTGGGAGAGTATGCTGTCTTCTTCCTGCTTTCTTCTTCTCTTCTTTTGCTATTTCATAGAGAATTAAATAAAGAATGACTCACCTGCTTCTGGAAGCATTAAAACTCACCTCTCCCATTACACTTGTTAGCAGCCTTAGTGCATCACGATCATGGACAAGAGAGTCTGTGTAAAATGAACCAAGGTATTTTCTTGGATCCACCTCATTATCCACTGCACACAAATCAGGGCGCATGTTGAATCCATGGGAGATTCGCCCCACTGTGTATGGAAAAGCTCCACCTGCAAGAAGAAATTTTTAATAACAGAAGTTGGAAATATACAGGAAGAAAAAAAGCCACATTATCAACAGATATCCTTAAGTTTTACTGTCGGCTATTTAGAAAGAGAGTGCTCTGCACCAGTGACTTTTTATTCCTTCCCCTTTATTAGCTTCTTCCTCTATCTTCCCCACTTCTTCGCTACTGTGATGCCCAAATTCCTCCTGCTGCTTCCTTGTCCCTTTCCCCAAACCATCTCCTGTTTCCCCTTCCTCCTCGTTTCCCTCAAAGGCTATTGTAACAGTTCAAACACTGGCTGAAACAGGCTAGAGAATGTTCATACAAGCAGCCAATCTGGCAGATTATCTTCTTTGAGGTAATAGTACTCAGCTGGTGGCAGCCTTAAGGTGGTAACCCTATTAGCTGGCATACCAGAAAATACAATTGTACCACGCTCAACTGAAGAACAGGCGTTTCACATAGTATATTACTTACCTCCGTGTGCAAAGCAAACTTTCAGCTTAGGAAATTTTTCAAAAATTCCTCCCATAATCATGGAGCAAATAGCTATGGTTGTTTCTGCTGGCATGCCTAAGAAAAAAAAAAAGCTTTCTTGTATGAGAGTTTTATTTTTTATTTTCCTATTTGAGTTTTAAATGTTATCTTAATTGCCTTAAATTCGCCTTGAGCCTACTGAAAAAATAATAGTTACAGAGCGGCTGCCAAAGGTTACGCCTTATTTCTATTAGCAGAACACGGAGCTGAACATTAATTAACTGAAATGAGGACACAGAACTGGAAGCTAAGATCTTCTGAATTCTGAAAGCCCAGTTTTTATCCTACACCACTAGGACAGCTGAGAGGCCAGTTGGGTACGTCCTGAACTGCACGGTACAGCCTTGGTTCCCCCGTTACCCTAGCTCAAAGACAAGTCTGGTATACGCCAGGGTCTCTTCTCACCTGTGCTTCTGCATTTCTTTTGTGTGGGAAGAGGGGCAGATACATTGGTGGATATTCCAACACAGATTTGGGGCTTAGTTATGACATGGTGCCAGTTCCGACAGTTTAGAAATAACCTCTCTCTCTCTTTGCCACTGGGCAACTTGGATGCCCGGTGTTAGGAACATAAGAGCAAGTAGGTTCCTACATCAGGCCTCAGTTTCTGAGCACACCAAACATATTTAGAATATCATGCCATTTAGGCGCCCATATTCAGTTCCTAATTTCAAGCTGGATGTCTGAGTTCCCCTCATCTATGGGGGGAACGATACCTATCCAGCTCAAAAGGTTGTGTTTCATTAACATTTTACCATATGCTCAGATGCAAAGCCTTATTAGGCTTACCAGGAAAATCTTTTAATTATACTTTGTTAAGTAAATGCAATAACTTTAGTCTCTCTTTAAATCTGTGTTGTTGAGCCTGCTCTGATTAAGACTAATTGATATTGTTTTAAGATAATGCACTGGTGCTAGGGACACTAAGATTTTCCAGTGTATATTGCAGAATGTATATTATATGTATATTGTGTATGTTTTTCAGAACACCTCTATTGGAGGCAATGCAAAACAAATCAATGCAAAACAGAGTGAGGGTGGAATCAGGTCTATACTGCTTCTAGGTAGCAGTATAACCTACCTCCTGTTATTCAATGTTGTTCTGATTTACCGAGCAGATGGGGAAAAAACCAGAAACTAGGTAATTCCCTACATCAATGGGGAGCTTTCAAAGTACATGTTGTTTCAGCTATAGTTGATGTGAACTTAGATTTATTTCCCCTCTGATCAACCTATTTCTAGGAAATAATCCAAGAAATTCTAGGAAGTAATGTTTTGTTTTGCCTACTTCTTCATTTACTCGCGTTATTTTTGAGGAGCTCATTTCAGAGACAATTCACTTTTCCCTAGTCATCTGCTCTTTGTATATAGGACAAAAGAGAATACTAGATTCTGTTGCTACTCTGAATAATTTTAATTCTAGGTATTTAAAAGTTAGACAAACTAAAAAAGCTTAAAAACAAACGACTGCTGAATTTACACAACAGATTTAATCATAGTACTCAATTTAAAAAAAAAAAAAAAAGATTGATAGAAAGATCATGTAGTTTTTCTCTGTACTAGTACCTTTGTAACAATCTTCCAGGCCTAATCCAGTGACAGTTCATAAATGTAGATTAAGCAAAGTAAATATACACTCACCTATTAGCCAGGGAAACCAATATTTGGACATCCTTCCATCTATCTGCATGTCCCAGGGATGCACAAAGAGACAGCAATTTAATTCTTCAGCAGCCTGCAGGAAAAAGAAAAAAAAAATCTAAATCTTGACTAACCATACCAAAATGCATCTTATTTCTTAGCCATGCTTTCAAGATTACCTGCAAAATTGTACTGAGCATTAGTATTAGTAATGAAAATAGGCCCAGAAGTAAGAACTATAAGCAATAGTTAGTTATATTTGCTCCTCTGGGCCGTATCCTGAAGTCCTCACTCAGTTGCAAAATTCTTTTTGAGGCTACAGGATTGGAAACACCGATGATAATATCTTTTTAGTAAGCCAAGTGTTCCTCAGATTAATGCAGTACAAAAATGCTTTTTTAGCTGTGTTTGTCAGCCATCCTGCAGTATAAAACTCAGTTCAAACTAGCATTCTTTTGGTTTCATTACACATATGAGGATGAATTCTCATTGTTTTATAGAACCATTTTAGGATGGTTTTGCAGAATTGTTCCAGCTGCATTCAGGAATTTTCATTGCTGTTGCACTACGTTTTTCCCCTCTGGCCCTTTGCCTGGCTTAAAAAAAAGTTAAAACTATTCCTAATCCACCCTAAGAGTTCGAAATCTAGCTGTATGCTGATCAATAATTCATCTCCACTCAAGTATATTAATTTTCACAAAACTACTGATGTCTTTGGAAAGGAAAACAGAAGAAGAATATAGGATGCTGATTCTGACTAAGTAATTTAACTGTGCTGAAATTTAAATATATAGCCATCAGAGTCATTCATATGCTTAACCAGGATTTAACAGCTTCATTTTGTCAGATGTATTTCTGGACCTCCTCTTGTTGCCAAGGAGATTATCACACATTTGAAAAATTTGGGTTTATTTACCCATACATGCATAAATAAAGCTGCAACTTTTGGATTGTAGGGAGTAATTGCCATCTACATTTGTGAACTAAAAATTGCAATTCAGTAAATGGCTTGGTAGATTGATAAAGTTCATTATCGTATATGGCTTAATTTCACAATCTTTATTATCCGGGGATGTTTCTAAAAGTGATAGAGGTTACTTCCTACATGTGTTAAGCATAAGCTGAAGAATGTACAGTATAAGAGAGAGATCCTGGTACAGGAGAGGGATCTCAGTACAAGAGAGACATGGAGCTACTGGAGAGGGTCCAAAGATGATGAAGGGACTGGAGCATCTCTCCTGTAAGGAAATGCTGAGAGAGCTGGGACTGTTTAGCCCGGAGAAGAGAAGGTTCAGCC